CCCCAATCTGCACTCCTCCTCATTCACAATGATTTGATTTTTTGATCTTTGATGCCTGATACCTGATCCCTTAGACACCTCGTGGTCACACAGGCTGGTGTGCTTCTTCCATGTGGCTTTGTTGCTTCTGAGCTAGATGGCCGCTTGTTTACCTTCAAGCATTTTAGATCCCAGATGCTATCTGCTTCTTCTGTGCCATGTTTTATGATGTGTTGTGAATACGAAGATGAAGTCTATGAGTGGCCTTTATTTTCCAAGAGACCGTTACCTACTGGAGGAGATGAACACATAAACTAATAAATAAAATGTGGTTTAGAACACAGACTTTAACTCTCAGGCAAAATTCTATTTTGTATCCATTATGGGAAAAAACTAGGAAGTTATGAAAGAGATTATTATGCTTACAGGATTCAAGATGATGCTCACCATCACTGTCCTTGTAACAAAATATGTTTAACAGGATTTTTCATGTGTCTCCTTTTCACATGGAAATCATGTAAGGCTTTACAAATAGAATGGTGAAAAGTTTAGACTCTACAGCCAGTCTGCCTGGTACAACAGGGTCTTTTATATAGTAAGCACTATTTGTGATTAAATAAACTAGTATAATATGTACATTTTTGTGTTTTGTTTTTATTTTTAGTGTTTCTATAGAGAGAGACAAGATTGATGAAAAATCTGAAACAGTGAAACTCTTAGAATACATTGAAGAAATCAGGTACTGTAATAGTTTTAAGTTGGACTTTATTTTGTTGAGTAATGAATGTACTACTTTGACCAATACTGATTAATTTTCTACACAGCTGCATTATTCGTAATGATTTGTTTTAATGTAGTTGTGCATCAGAACAAGTGGAGAAGTACAAGGTAGATATTGCCCAGTTAGAACAAGATTTAAAAGAGAAGAATCATGAAATTCTAAGCCTTAAGCAGTCTCTTGAAGAAAATGCTGACAGGATGACTAAACAAGTAGAAGATCTGAATGCCAGATGTCAGCTCCTGGACAAAGAAAAAGGTATTACAATAGTCTCCTTTTCTTGTCGTTAAATAAGTATTCGATTTTAAAAAAAAACATCTTCTACGATGTTAAAACACATTTTTAATAATTATCCTAACAAAAAATGCTGTTCCCTTTGTGAGAGTTTTTGACTATATGCTTCTCTGTTTATGTGAATATATAGCTTGTCTTGGTGGAAATTTATACAATTTTGCAGTTCTCAGCTTCTGGGTAACCAATTGTAATTGTTAGATACTTGGAACAGGTTTTTCTTAGATTTTAGAGCCTGCCAAACTTGTTAAATTTTTTTTTTCCAAATCCCCATTCTATAACTGTAACTCAGTGTAACTCAGTGAGATTCTGAGCTACGTTCCTTTCATTCTCTCTTAATGAGTATAAAAACCAAACACCTGAAAAGGATGAGACAGAACCTACAGCAAAGCAGCAGTCAGGAAACTAGTGATGGCAGAAACGGTACTGATGAAACTGCAGTCTCAGGAGCGCAGCTCACACGGTTCGGATCGTTCACCGTTAACACTTTACGTGTGTGTGGACATACAAGAGTTTCTAGACTTAGCCCTTCACCAAACGGTTTTTATCAAGACATCCTCTTGTTGGTTCTTCTTTGTTTATATATTAAATGGCAATTTAAAAGATTCTTTAACTCGTCCCACTTTGGTTAAATTAATAACTTTTCACTTAGTGATGTTGGTTGATTCAATTTTTAATGCAAATTTGTTCTTCAATATTCATTATATATACAAATTTTAGAGTTAGTGCCACCCCCACTCCCAAACATTTGATAATATGCTGAAAGCAAGGTAATGGAGCATTATAAGGTTCTGGGTTTCTCATAGTTGATAATAGTATCAAGTCACAGTACTTTTAATGTTTTCCCTTTTATAGAAGATCTTGTCATCAGGGATTGTGAACAAATTGAAATTCTAAATGCTGAGATACAAAACCTAAAAGAGAAGCTTATCATTGAAAAACAAGAACATGAAAAGCTACAACAAAACAAATTGCAAACTGATTCACTTCTGCAACAAGAGAAGGTAGTTTAATACAAAAAAAACACAAAACTGTACCTCTTCTGTGTCAAAAATTTCTCTACATATAGCCCCAAACCTGAGTTGAATGATTTCAAGACTCATTCTTGTGATAGAGTAGTAGAGTAGTATATAGAAACCGGGGGTGGCGGTGGGGTGAGGACTCACTGCCGTGAAGTCTGTTTTGCCTTATTAGTAATTGTATTGTAGAAGAGTGTCCGATGATACAAGAAGCAAAGCAGTTTTTTTTTCATCATAAGCTGTTATTTATTTATTTATTTTTCTTTTTAAAATCATTTTACTGGGGGCTCATACAACTCTTATCACAATCCATCCATACATCCATTGTGTCAAGCACATTTGTACATTTGTTGCCATCATCATTCTCAAAACATTTGCTTTCTACTTGAGCCCTTGGTATCAGCTCCTCATTTTTTCCCCTCCCTCCTTCCTTGCCCCCCTCCCTCACGAACCCTTGATAATTTTTTAAAAATTATTTTATTGAGGGCTCATACATTTCTTATCAGTCCATACATACATCCATTGAGTCAAGCACCTATGTACACCTGTTGCCCTCATCAATCTCAAAACATTTGCCCTCTACTTTAGCCCTCAATATCGTTTGCTCGTTTTCCCTCTCCCTCCCCCCTCCCTGCTGAACCCTTCACAATTCATAAATTATTATAGATTTGTCATAAGTTACACTGTCCGACGTCTCCCTCCACACTTTTCTCTGGTGTCCATTCCCCAGGGAGGAGGCTATACTTAGATTCTTGTAATTGGTTCCCCCCTTCTACCCCACATTCCCTTCACCCTCCAGGCCTCACCCCTCTCACCGCTGGTCCTGAAGAAGTCATCTACCCTGGGTTCCCTGTGTTTCCAGTTGCTATCTGTACCAATGTACATCCTCTGGTCTAGCCAGATTTGCAAGGCAGAATTGGGATCATGATATTGGGGGGGAGGAAGCATTAAAGAACTATAGGAAAGTTATATATGTTTCATCATTGCTACCCTGCACCCTGATTAGCTCGTCTCCTCCTCAAAACCCCTCAGCAGGGGGGTGGCAAAACAGATTTTTAAAATCAAAATTATATAAAGAATATTTTACAAAGAACCAAGAAGAAAAATAAGTCCACTAAAATAAACGAGCTTAGGGGCATGGATTAAAAATAGGGAAGTCTTAGAGGTTAGCATCTAGACAGTAGTGTATATACAGGAATAGGAATTGAGGAAATGGAAATAACTGTTTCACTTATGAGTAGTATAAATTAAAACACTTGATAACATAACACGCCAGTGAGAGTTGGGCAAACAAGTACTTTCAAGCACTGATGTGAAGTATATTGTTGGGCATACTTCAACAATTTAAAAGAATGTAATGGATCTACACAGATGTCAGTACCTATTTTTATAAATTTTTACAAGTAACTTTTACATACAAAAAGAAATAGCATCTATATCCTTCTTCCCCCTACTCTGCAAAAATATGTATATTTATAAAATATTGAAAGAACCAAAATGTGTGGTGTGTACTACCTAGTGCGTGGTCTCTGAAATGGAAGAACTGGTTTAAGTAAGGAGTACTCAAAAATAATTTTCAATTTATTTGTAATGCTTTTAAAAAAACCTGGTAATTTGTATGTTATATGACCTAGAAATGTTTGTTTACAGCATTGTTATTACAGAATAATTTTTAGATACTATTTTGTGAGAAAAGTACATAACAATCTGTTGTAAAACAGATATAAAGTATAATTTTAATTTTATAAGAAGTTTCTTCCCAGAGCAAAGACTAGAATGATATTTATCAGTGTTAATTGTAAGATATAATTCATGAAAAAGTGAGGCTTTTAATCTTGGGTTTTTTTATATAATTCATATATCATACAGTTCAATAGTTCAGTCTAATCTAGTGTTCATGCTTCATTATCTACTCCTTTTTGTTTCTCAGTTAAAGTTCAAAATGCCCTTTAAAATTATTTTGATGGCTGTCTGTTTGGATATAGGAATTATCTTCAAGTCTTCAACAGAAACTATGTTCTTTTCAAGAGGAAATGATTAAAGAAAGACATTTCTTTGAGGAAGAGTTAAAGCAAGCACTGGGGGAGTTAGATAAATTGCAGCAAAAGGAGGAACATGCGGAAAGACTAGTAAAGCAACTGGAAGAGGACACAAAGTCGAAGGCCGAAGAACTAAAATGCCTACAAGAGAAGATGCAAGGGTTCGTATCAGCAAGATTTGTGTTATATGGTTTAAAATGTTATAAATTCTGTTGAAATATAAGTTTCCCAGAAAGTATTTTCCAGTATGTTCTCTCTGAATTTTTAGATCACTTATGGGAGTGGGTTAGGTTGGAATGACTTTCAATTTAGGAATAAACAGAGATAAAGTAAATGCCAGGATTTGAGACAAACAAGTAGGAAAGCCAAAATTATTATCCATGCCCTTTCTCTTAAGGCCAGAGATAGCATGATAATGAATTAAAAAAACATGCAAAACCAAAGATCCCAGTGAGTTTAGCCATTCATTGCTTCCATGTTTGTGTCCTTCTGTGTGTCAATTCACAGTGTGTACCTTGTGCCCTTAGATCTCATTCCTCTAAAGTGGGTGAGAAACCTATTTTTCAGCCAAAGTCTTATCTGGATATTTATAACATCATTATCTGGCCACTGATCAAAGGTTTAATTAACTCGCCCCAGATATGTTGGCTGCAGTCCTACATACTCAGAGCTATCACCTGCATTTTATAATGACTTATCTAAGACAACTCTTGATCTTCTTTCCACTTTTCCCTCTCTTTTTCACTTCTTTTGCTTTCTTTTTTTTTAAATATATGCCAATAATATCCTCACTTTCCCACTTTTTTGTTCTGTAAATCTTAGAGTCATTCCTGATCATTTTTCCTTCCTTAAGGCTCCTTCTCCCACCTCTGTAGCACTTACCAGGAATTTAATATACTATTAGCTATTTTTATGTAGACTGATGGAAGTATTTCCTTATCTTCATCACAAGACCATAAACTCTGGACAATAAGTGCAGAAATTGTCTTTTTTAAGAATCATTTTCATGTTTGGAAAGCTGGTTTTTACATTTGCATGCTCCTTGGAGTTTTTTAGTTTAGATTTTTTTTTTTTAATGAACAGTAAATATATGGTATTTAAGCTCATCAGTACTGACCTTGGCACACCAAATTCTTATCTGTAATAAATAATAAACTTATAATGAGGATATACATACTTCAACTAAAAGTGGATAAACTTAAAACTGTATTTAGAAAGCCACTTTGATTTTTTTTCCCAATTAGCTATAAAGCATTAACTAGTGAGATAGAGGACCTTAAGCTGAAGAACTCATCACTACAGGAAAAAGTAGCCAAGGCTGAAAAATGTACAGAGGAAGCTCAACATCAGATCTTGGCAACTGAGAACAGAAATCAAGAATATGCAAGGTTTGTAGATGAAATAAAGCAAAATCACACTTGTAGACTGAGAACCAGTACTACAATTTATATAAAGAACAGAAATTTTACTTTTTAACAGCTGTACAGAATAAAATTACAGGCCTGTGGATTCCTTCCTTGTATGAAGCCCTAGGCATTGTCTTTGCCTTGTAAAAGATCCTCACACTGGGACTGTTAAAACTGGGAAATGATTAGCTTAGAACCCATGCTGCTCAAATATGACCTGATTAACATAGCAAAGCAACCACTACTTCCAAACTGAATCTTTACAGGTTTCAAAAACCAAAGTCACTGGTTTCTGACTGAAAACATTATGGGAGCAAGAAATCTCATTTCCCCAGCAGGAGTCCTCAAACTTTTAAAACGGGGCCAGTTCACTGACCCTCAGACTGTTGGAGGGCCGGACTATAGCTTTAAAAAAAACTATGAACAAATTCCTGTGCACACTGCACGTATTTTGAAGTAAAAAAACAAACAGGACAAAAACACCCAGCGGGCCGCATGTGGCCCAAGGGCCGTAGTTTGAGGACCCCTGTGAGTGGCTGGTAGATTAGAACCTCTGACCTTTCAGTTAGTAGCCTAAGGCCTGACACGCAGTACCACCAGCTTGCTACAAGTTTAAGGGACAGAATTTCAAAGCACATTTATGGAGAATATAAATCCATTAACAGGAAAAAAAGGGGGGCAGGGAACACAAGTAACTGAAATGATTATAACTGTTTAATGGACTCTTTCAAACCCAAGGATGCTTCTAGATCTGCAGACCAAATCAGCACGCAAAGAAGCAGAAATCAAAGAAATGACTGTTACGTCTCTTAAAAAAATAACTGATTTGCAGAACCAACTCAAGAAACAAGATGAAGATTTTAAAAAACAAATGGAAGAAGCAAGGTATTCTAGATTTATCACCTGAGTGGAATAATAGCAATTATTTTTTCTAAAATTACATTTCCTAATAGTTCATTTTAATTTTTCCAAACAGAAAAGCTGAAAATGAAAATACAATGGTAGAGCTAACTGAGGAAATTAATAAATGGCGTCTCCTTTATGAAGAATTATATAATAAGACAAAACCTTTTCAGGTTTGTAAATGAAAATCTAGTGGTGGTTGCTTTAGGAACTCATTGTGTTCCATTACGGTCACAACAATGACCTGGTTTTTCTAGAGGATTGTTCTACAGGTCATTTATAATTCAATCTAATGTCATTAAAGGAGCCGATATATAATATTAAATTATTATTAATAATAAATCTCAATGTAGCCTTTATAGATTAATAAAAATCTTCTAATGAGGGATTTAAAGTTAATAGCTTAGAAAACGCTCCCAATACGAACTTTCCTAATATAAATTAATGTATATTTGCACATATGTTGGATCTTTCTTAGTGTTTCTCAGATTAACACGCTGATCTTTTCAAAGAAAAACTATATAATGGTAATTGGGGCACTAGAAGCACAGCATTCAGTTATAATGTACACCTAGCTGATACAGAGTAGGCTAGTTGACAGACTTTCTTTTCCATCCTTATGAATATTTTGTTTGGTTTGGTTTGTTTTTTTTTTGCATAGCTCCTTTATGGCTTATGTGAAAGAAGAAAGATTTAAGAGCTTTAAGTCTTAACCTTGTGAAAAAAATCTTTTTCAGCTGCAACTGGATGCCTTTGAAGCAGAGAGACAGGCTTTGTTGAATGAGCATGGTGCAGCTCAGGACCAGCTGAATAAACTAAGTGATTCCTATGCTAAATTACTGGGTCATCAGAATCTAAAGCAAAAAATCAAGCATGTTGTGAAATTAAAAGATGAAAATAGCCAGCTAAAATCGGTTTGTTAAAGAAAATTTACCTTCATTAATACTTGGTCAGGGAATATATTCTAATTATAATGCATCACAGTACAACAAAGATCTTTGGTATTAGAAAAAACTAACAGTTTTTAGAGGAGAATTCATCTCAGAATTGTGAATTTATTTTATCATGTTGACCAGGTGGCTGAATAGTGGTCTCAGGTTTTTGGACTACTTTTTAGTATATTGAAAATTACAGTTTAATTAGAAAACGTCATAAGGCATTATACATCTAATTCTATTTGCAAAGTAACAAAGATGTCGAAATAGTTATCATAACAATAGTGTTCAACAGTAGCTGTGTACTTTGAGTTCACTTTTATCAGAAACAGATTTACATCTTGAGTGGAACCCGCTAACACCAAGCCAGCTGTCATCGAATTGATTATGACTCGTAGTGACCCTATGATGCAGATACAACTGCCCTGTAGGTTCCCAAGTCTGGAAATCTCTACAGAAGCACGCTGCCATCTCTTTTTCCCAGGGAGCGGCTGGTAGATTTGAACCGCCAACTTTTGTTTGGCAGCATAGTGCTTTAACCACTGCAGCTCCAGAGCTCCATGGCAGATGAGAAGCTAACTGTAAATGACTCATCATTTTTAACACAGCTTTAAAGTTATTTTGAAATTCGTCATATTAAAGCTTGGATATATATAGTACTGGCTCTTGTATTCTGTTTGATGCATATGCAACTTCGGAATCTGTCAATAACAGTGACTGCACATATCACCAGCATGGTAATAATTATTTACTGTACACCTTTTCCTTGCATAGGAAGTGTCTAAGCTTCGCTCCCAGCTTGCTAAGAAAAAACAAAGTGAGACAAGACTGCAGGAGGAATTGAATAAAGTTCTGGGTATCAAGCACTTTGATCCTTCAAAGGCTTTTCATCACGAAAGTAAAGAAAATGTAGCCCTTAAAACCCCATTAAAGGAAGGTAAGGTGTGAATAAATGTATGGAAGTCTATTTATTCTCCCTTTAGTTTTGCTTTCATAGCACTTAGCAAGTCGTCCCTCTTTTTTTAATGCTCTGTGAAAAACGTGACCACTTCTGCAGTGAAAGAACTCTGATGAGATGAGATTCTTGTGTGCACGCCTATTTCTTTCTCCCTGCCTTTCCCAAGGTCCCGACCCTGCTTGTTCTTTAAGCTTCTTTCAAGTTACAGCTCCCTGCCCTGACCTTTTTTATTCTTAATATATTAGTCAAAATTAGTGTCTTTTTTACATTAGCTTAAATTCCTGGTAGATCCTTAATCATTTTCTAATGTGTAGGTTTGGGGAAGGAAATTGTCTCTTTCTTAACGTATTTTTATTAATCAGAAGTAGGTAGAATAGTTAATGAGTAAAATTTTGCTGCAGAACACAAACATCACTTCATCTTTGTGAAAGCAGTCAGGAAATCAGTTTTAAGTATATAAAGATCATTAAATTCATTTCAATTTAAAATATTGATACTGGAGGAGGGAGGGTGAAAAGGAGGAGCAGATATCTGATATAAAAAGGGGCTAAAGTAGAAAAAATGTTTTGGAACTGATGATGGCAACATATGTACAAATATGTCTGATACAATTGATGTGTGAATTCTTAAAAGCTTAAGAGCCCCCAATAAAATGAATGATAATAAATAAATAAAATATTGATACTTCTTTTTGATAATTCTAGGTAATACGAACTGCTACTGAAGTCCAAGAATCATGCATGTAAACAAGTGAAAATCCTGTTGAAGATTATTTTATTCTATTTTTATTGTTATTATGATGTTTACTATATGTTTTTTTATACTGTTGTATATAATTTTAACTGCCCATCGTTTAGTATGGGAAAAGAGATTCAACATTTTTTATCAATATTCCTTCTGACATTTTATTTTCTATTGTGACTGCCTCCTTGATGCTCATATTTATTAATTCATCTTAAACTTTCTAACTGAACTTCTAGCTTATAATTCACCCCATCAAATCAACTTCATTTAAAATACACTATCATTATCTTCCTTATACCTCAAATGGTTTCAAGATTCTAATCTCCTAGGTTTTTTAGATTGATTCTGGAAGCTTCCTTTGAACCTACCTTTTTAGTTCAGCTAAAGAACCTTGCCTTAATCTTAGATCTACTTTGACTCCTAATAATTATCATTCTGTCCTAAAAGTCATCTACTTGCTCAGTCAAGTAAGAAATAAGGACAAGTTTAACTCTACATTCATCTCTTTTTCTTATAAAAATCATGGAGATTGTTTAATAATATATTGAAGTTCACTAGGCCCCACCACAAATTAACTAAATTAAATTCTCGAATTTGGCCTATAAAAGTTTAACTTAACAAACTGCAGTTAATTCTTGGATAACGCTAGTAGCCGAGAAATTCTGATTGTAACTTCTTTGGAGAGATTTTTTCCTGTTACTTTTTCATCTGCTTACTGGGTGTTTGGTTAGTATTTGTATAGTATGAAATAAAGCACACAGTAAGCCATTGAACCAATTCTTCACCTTGTGCTTTATGTTTTCATTTTGTGTTTAAGATGTACTTATTGTCCATGGGTTCTCCACCATCTCTAATCCCAGAATAACAACTGATAGCATAAAGAATGTGATAGTTCTCCTTTGAAATATCTGGTTTGCACAGCTGGTTAGAATATTTATAAGCCATCTTATTTTACAAGGTTTCTCTATTCATGGCCTAGCAAACACCATCACAATTACAATAGATTATTATTTTTAATTAAATTTTAATATATGGTTGAATTTTAAGATGTGAGCATTCAAGTTCAGCAGAAATGTAAAAATTGAAAACTTTTGTCTGGTAAAATCAAATTGCTAAGGACATTATTTTAGCTAAGTTGGAGTAACAAGGACAAAACTTATAACTACTGCTGTTGCTACAAACACATGCCTAAAACAACTGGAAACTACACAGAATATGTAAAACAATGACTTCCAAGACACTGTACATTAGCACTGACACATAACCATGTAGGTAAGCACCAGTTTCCCCAATTTATTACTTTAGGAGAAATTCCAGACAGTTGCAGGGAAGAGGGACACAGGCAGTCTCTGCTGAGATCAGAAGTCATTAAGAGGACTAGAGTTGGTAGAGCAAGTACAGAAACTAGAGAATTAATTGGACAGAGAAGTAACTTCAGAGATCTGCCAAGGGTCCCTCACGAGTATCCATCAAAACACTGAGATCTACAACTGAAATTGGCCACAGAGGTCACCTTTTTGCTATGTAACAGATTGGCTCCCAAAATAAAGAAAATCACCTGTGAGTACTGTGAACCTTTTTTAAAAAAAAGTATATATGTGAGACCAAATGGTCAATAATTGCTTTAAAACAAAGATGAGAAGCTGATAGAGCAAGGAAACTAGATTAATGGAAATAGAACAGCCATGATGGAAATAATGAGAATGTCCACACATTGTGACGAATGTCACCGAGAACAATTTGTATGTAAAGCTTTAGAATTTTATTTCACTGTGATAAATAAATATACTATAGCAACCCTAAAACAAGCACTAGAGTATACTAAAAGCAACTATTAAGAATTATGACTAATAAAAATAAACCATAAAAGATTTAATATGAAACAAAGCAGAATAAAAACACACTTGGTGCCAAAAGAAAAGAAATAGCAAGATGGTGGACATAAACCATACCAATTGTCAATGTTCATTGTAAATGGTTTGAATACCCCCACATTATCAAATTAAATTTAAAGAGCAAGACTATTATATAGCTTAAAACACTACTTCAAGTATAAAGACACAAGCAGATTAAAAATCAAAAGATGGAAAAGATATACTAACACAAAACTAAAGTAGCTATATTGATACCAGACAAAATAGATATCAGAGCAAAGACTATTAGAATATCAGTAATAAAATGTGCTTATTTTTTAATAATAAATAGGTCAAGTCATTAGAAAAAACCCAAACATTCTAGCACATAACAATAGCTTCAAAATGTGAATCATGAATTGATATACTTGTCAGGAGAAATGGATAAATCTGTAATTATAAGCAATAAAGCCCACATGGAAGAAGCACACCAGCATGTGTGACCACGAGCTGTTGAAGGGATCGGGTGTCAGGCATCAAGGAACAAGAAATCATGTCATTGTAAAGGT